TATTGTTTCGATACAGCAGGGGGGGGAAAACTAAACATAAAATTGCTTTTTTTTTTTATTAAACAGTGGTTTACTGAACAAATTAAAATTAACATTTTCTTAGGGATAAAAATCTACCTCAGCTTATGCCAACTATAAGGTTACAATTAACAACAGTGCCCAAACTTAAATTTAATTATTTATTTTTAAACATAATAATCAGCACTTAACTTAAAGTATGCAAACATGTAAACTGCACATAATGCCGTTTTTAAATAAACTTCTAAATGATACAAATTTTATTTGTTGAAATATAATTTACACAGTGGCTCTCATAACTTTTTCATAACAGATTTATTTAAACATTAAATAATTAAGACATCACTAACAGGTAAAGTAAAATATAATGAGTATAAAGTCTAATATTTTGCGAAATGCTCTTCTCTTGAGTTCATTTATAGCGCACTAATGAGCTGTGGACACTGATGACTGCCTGAGGTAAATGAAATGCTACGTGACGTTTTGTTTACAAGCTGTTTTATTGACGTGTTTCCGCGGTTGAAACGCTGATTGAGTGATTGTGTGAGGCATGAGATGTTCATTCATGGTTATTTCATGCTATAACTATAGTAAAGAGGAAGGGATGATCGTGCTGCCGTTTGAACGGAGGCGTCAAAGAGCGTCAAAACTACATTTATTGTTTGAATTTCCTGAAAAAAAGGACATAATTTGAAAGATGAAACTGTTTCTTGTCAAAAATAACAATGTATAACTGGAAGTTTCCAATTAAGTTTTACTTGTGCAGTGGTTAAAACAATGCTGTATTTGTTCGGTACACATGCGTACTGAACCGAAAGACCCGTACCGAACATTTTTCGATATGAATAACTGTACCGTTACACCCCTAATATATATATTTCTCATATATGATTTGGTGCTCACGAAACATTTCTTATATTATCAATGCTGAAAACAGTGTTGCTTGATGGAGAAAAAAAAAAAAGTAATTTGGTTATTTGTGAATGTCCATAGGGAGTGCATTGTTTCCACTGAAAATGTTTTCACTTAAATTTTCACTTTTGATGTGAATAAGCCTTGAATCCGAAATATTAAACTACAATGATCCATCTTTTATTCAGACACCTATTTTTTATTTTTTTTCAGAGCACAATGGCTTTTCATTGAACTTCTGAGAATAATTTGGCACATAAATTGTTCAAATATTTCATACTTGTGTGTGATTTAGTGACATGGCACTTGGTGTAAACAGGCATTTACATAAATTCAAGTCTCTCATCCAGTCAGATTGCACATTTTAATCTCATCTTCTACAGCTGAACCTTTGCAGTATTACTTGCCAATTCGGTTGGATTGCATTTCCCTATCAGAGGACTTACAGGTTGCCTTGGTCATTCACTCATGCTTTTCTTTCCTTCAGCATCAGGGGTCTTGAGCTCTTTGCTCCATTTGAAAAGGGATATTTTTACCTTTTTCATTAAGGTGATTCATGCACTGCTAAATATTTGAGAAATCCCTACCTTCGTAACGAGATCACGCTCAAATTTTTCACTTCCTCTTTCAATTTTAAAGTGAGTGATTGAGGGCGTGCGATGAAGAGGTGGTGCAAGATGAGGTTAATGCACTCTCTCTCTTTCTCTTCCCTCCGTGCGAGTGTAGATGTCTCGTTCTGCCTCTACGTTCAGTCTGACGGGCTCTATTAAAAGCGCAGTGGTTCAGCGGTCAAACTCTCTGGACCATGCCCCGTGGCCCAGGGTCCCGGTGTGTGTCCGCACTCCGTGCAGTCCAGAGAGGGCTGATGAACCAGCAGCTCCCAAAACCCAGCTCAGACCATCCATCCTGTCCCTCCCAGCGGCCCAGCCCGTAGCTCAGTGCCGAGAGCTGTTGGCGCCCCCTGAGCCGCAGCACAGGTTCCCTGGGTCCCCGCGGCGGGAGACCCTCCTGTAGGACTCTTGAATGTGAGCACAGCAGTTCTGCCTCTTTGACGCACTGTGACTTTTACTAACTCACATCTGGGGACGGTGTTAACACTAACTCACTACCGCACAGATGGGCTATGGTGGCACTCAATTATAGATGATCTGAGGACTGGTTCAAAAGGGATAATTCTCTTAAAAATTTAAATGGTAATTTCCTCACCCTCATGCTGGCCCCTCTATGTAATTTACTGTAATGTTGAGAAATGTATTAGTGCTGCACTATTTTTCCCATCACGAAAGTGAATGGGGATCCAGACTGTCATCAAATGACATAAATCTCCATAAAAGTAACTTGACTGAAATTTTAACTTATCCTCACCCAACTTATACACGGTAGCTATAATCTCATTTGTATTTTTCATATTGACACTTGCCACGTTGTAAATGTTGAATGTGCATCATGTGGCAAATGATGACAGGCCACATCATATCAATGTCATGTCTTCAAATTTGACTTGTTGCTTTATTTTAGTATTATTTGCATAAAATTTTAGTATTTGTTAATATTATAAATTAGCTTTTATTTTTATATTTTAAGTTTTAATTTTAGTATTTTTTTTTTTTTAGTACTTCAACTTAAAAATAAAAATTGAAATGTTGCTTTGGCAACTAACTAAAAATAAGTTTCGTTTTATCTTTTCATCTAATAATTACATTTTATTTAATTGTAGCTTTATTTAAATTAATGATTTTTTTTGTAATAGTTTTAGTTAACAATATCAACCCTTAAATTTTTGTTTCATGCTCGGAATTATTATATTACTTAATATAATTTTAACTGTAGCATAAGAGTCATATGAAACGGTTTTATAATATTTCCCCATTTCAAAATTCATTCCGCATTTACTTTCATTCGATGGAAAAGTGTTAAAATATCACCTTTTGTGTTTCATGGAAGAAAAAATGTCATGCATGTATGACATGAGTTTAAAAAAAAAAAGAATAGAATTTGTTCACTCAAAAAAAAATCCAACTTATTCTGATAAAGTTAAGATTTTCATTGAATAAAGTTGTATTTTTTGCTTTGTTCCAACAAAAAAAAGAAGTGTGACGTAACAATACAGACAGAATGATCCTTATTTTTGGTGAAGAGCCCCTTAAACACAGACCTCAGATCATTTATGCGGGGTGAAATATGACATCTCAGATGCTTTTATAGTTCCATGATTCTCAGTATAATGACGGTTCTTATAATAAAGACGTAATTGTTACTGTGGCAATGTGATTTTTCTTTTTTCCATAAATCTCATTTTTACTGGGATACTGTTACGAGATCATGTTGGCATGATCTATGGGCGCGATAGCTGTAAAGTAGCTGATGACCATGATTTAATCTCCTATTTCTAATTTGATCCCATAAACTATAATCTGTATACTGGAGTGTGTGCGTTTAGCACAATCAAGGCAATTCAAGTTCAAGGCCACCTTAATTCTTATTTAGCAATGCTAAATAATAGGATTATTGTTGTGCATGTGTGAAAGCAGCCTGGTGCTTGTTACATCTGTGAGCACATTAAGAGTAAAACAAAATAAATTGGGTTTGTGGTTTGCTAACCTTCTTTTCAACTTCACATCTCTGTTTAAAGGGAAGAATACAGTATTATCCTCTGCATGGAGGTTAACACTCCTTTGGGTAACACTGTCGGTTCTGAAGGGTGAACACTTAAAAAGGGTCAACCGTGTGCATTCTTACCACAGCGAGCTTGTAAAGCCAATATCATTAACACGGATTTCTCTCCTCGCCTTTTCTCACTCCTTTGAATAAACACTCACAAAAACCTGTGAACCTCAGGCTTCTGCGAGAAAACTTGCGATTTAAAAAAGGCTAAGCACTGGCTTTTGGTCAAAAGAGAAAATCTCAACACTATTTAATGATTAGTTCCTACCCTAAATCCATGAAGATTAGCTGTAGTTTTGTAGGCTTCAGCAGGGATGGGCAGCGTGATTCTCGATACCATGAAGTGTTATTATTTTTAACAAATTTACAGATAAAATATTGGTTGAAAAAAGGATTTTGATAATGAAGTCTAGATGAAAATGATTATGACAGTTAAATAATTACAATAAACTTGATGGAAATCTAAGAAAAGTAACAGATATGAATGCACTTACAATGCAGAATGTTTATGCAAATAATTGATAATGAAGTCTAGATGAAAATGATTATGACAGTTAAATAATTACAATAAACTTGATGGAAATCTAAGAAAAGTAACAGATATTAATGCACTTACAATGCAGAATGTTTATGCAAATAATTGAAAAAAAAAATGTATATATAAAAATATTGACAGGTATGAATTTATAATATTTCATAGGTTAATGTTTATACTTTTTCCCCCCCACAGTTTTATCTGTAAATTGACACGTTTTTGTGTGAAATGTTTGTTGCCAAATTCTATACCAATATAAACCACACTAACTTCAGTTAGAAGTAGAAGTAGAAGTAGAAGTCTTATAATCAATATTTTGTCATTCATTCACTTTAAAGGACATTTTTCTTTAAAAGACAATTAAAAAACCAAGTATCACTGATTCCATGTGACTGTAGAAATGTCAAAATGACACATTATTATAGCATTCAGTATTAATTTTGTTCAATTCTCGGCTACTTTACAACTTGTTGGGCTCATCTAATCAGAATTTAAGGTTAGATTGACCAGTTTTTATAATGTTAGTTTAGCTGTTTTGAGTCGTTTTTTTTTATTATTATTATTCATGTTACATAATTTGAAATAGTTTTCATATTAATGCCAGATTCCATTTTTATAAATAAGCTTTTAGATTGCATCCAAGTTTTAAATAAAAAAAATTAATTAAATATTTTACATCTGAAAAATAATGAATTCTCTTGATTATCCAATATAGGCATTATCACTTGGGTATTTGGTGTATAGACTATTTTAATTATATCATGGTATAATGATAATGTGGTATAAAATCACTCGCACCGTGAAATTTTTTTATTTACTTTATTTTTATTTTTATTTATTTTTTTGCTCACAATGCCCACTCCTAGACTCCAGTGTGAATAGTTTGTACAAATAGCCCTAAGTGCATTACAGCTTTAACCAACACTTGCAACACGCTGCATTGAATCTTTAACAAGGTCTTCTGGGTATGAAAATGCACCAAATGGTAACACTTCCACCACGTACAATTGAGCACTCTTGAGTCTTAAACTAATTACAGACTGGAATGGAAATAACCTAGAATAACCCTGAAACTGTCCTTTCATCGCTATATTGCATTTCTCTCTTCCATTTTCTTTTTCCAGGCTGTTCATTCCCCATCGATGATCAACCTGTCCTCCGCCTTCGAGAGGAAGTATCATACCTTCAGCCGATCCACAACTCACCTGTTCTGAACTTTGCATCCTGAGTTGTCATTAATTTCCACACTACTACCAAGTCCGCCCGACGCCTCCAGCCCAAGACCCCCCACCTGGGTTTAATTTGCAGCTCCAGAACCCACCAAATGAAGTACAGCTTGTGTTGATGTCAATGTCTGGGCACATTTAATTAACCTTTAAGAGGCATTTATAACTGACATGTTCTGATTTTTATTAGAGGGGTAGAGTATTTACACTGTTATTAACCACTGAAAGTATTTCTTAATGTTTTGCAAGACAGGCCCTAATCTAAACTAATCTAGTTTTCAGCTTTTATAAAGCTATACACATCTAGCTGTTGCATTTAAGTGGAAATGCACTGCTTTAAACGCGGCCTTACATTTGTGCGTACTTTTAGAAGTGATTTTTATTGTTGATTTAGGGGTATTGATTTCTAAAAGTCAAAAGAGTTGTTGCGGTCCGCCTGCCATATTTATTCTCCAGAATCACTTCTATAAATAGTTTATGTAAATCTTTCTTTCCGTCTCTATTTATGTGTAAATATTGTGATTGTGTCATATTAATAATAGTTTGTCTCCACTGCTTGTACCTTTTTGTAGTCTCTGCACTTATGTCAACACGAAATGTAGTCATGTTTCACGTTTGTCTGTAAAAGGGAATCATATGTCTGCCTGCTGCAGATTTGTTTGGAGTGGGTGGTTTTGTTATTGTTTGACTACTTTTGAAGGTGACTTCATTTATTCTATATTAATAAAAGAAGCATAAAGCCTTCATCTTGTTCTTGTCTGAGGTGAAAATTTAACACTGCAAGCAATTTTTCTATCTTGTGCAGTAAACTAAAGCCTCACTGTCAGTGGAGTACTTTGAAAGACCAAAAATTGAGTATCTGGGCCTTAAAGACCAAAGTATAATTTATTTTTGGAAATAAACACTTGTATGCGTACAGTAGGGCTGGACGATATGGCCAAAATTAATATCACGATATATGTCTTAATTTCGGTCGATACGATATAATTCCGATATCGATATTCACACTATAAAAAAAAAAAAGCCTCGTAAAAACTGCCAAGAACGCCCACAACAGATGTCTGTGCATACAAACTTATGAAAAATTAATTTCCCAAGTCTATGACACCTCATATAAAACCATATAATATTTTAGAAGAAAAAAAAACAGCACAAATAAATTAATGTTCACCTTTTATTTGTATTTAGCCAAACAAAACGAAATGTGAAATCACGGTCAAATAATCGTCTCAGACTCCCCTAATTAATATTAATATCTTTAACTTCAAACTATAGGCTAACATACACTACCAGTCAAAAGATTTTGAACAGTAAGATTTTTAATGTTTTCGAGAATTCTCTTCTGCTCACCAAGCCTGCATTTATTTGATCCAAAATACAGCAAAAACCATAACATTTTGATTTTTTTTTTACTATTTAAAATAACTTTTCTATTTGAAAATATTTTAAAATGTAATTTATTCCTGTGATTTCAAAGCTATATTTTTAGCACCATTACTCCAGTCACATGATCCTTCAGAAATAATTCTAATATTCCGATTTGCTGCTCAAAAATAATTTCTGTTGAAAACAGTGGAGTAGAATTTTTTCAGGTTTCTTTGGTGAATAGAAAGTTCAGAAGAACAGCATTTATCTGAAATAGAAACATTTTGTAACATTATAAATGTCTTATTTATTCTATTAATTTCTATAATTTCTTTCCAAAAAAAAAAAGAAAAGAAATAATACTGACTCCAAGCTTTTGAATGGAATAGTGTATAATGTTACAAAAGCTTTTTATTTCAGATAAATGCTGATCTTTGGATCTTTCTATTCATCAAAGAATCCTGAAAACAAAATTTACTCAACTGTTTTAAATATTGATAATCAGCAAATCGACATTAGAATGATTTCTGGATCATGTGACACTGAAGACTGGAGTAATGATGCTGAAAATTCAGCTTTGATCACAGGAATAAATTACATTTTAAAATATATTTAAATAGAAAGCAGTTATTTTAAATAGTAAAAATATTTTAAAATGTTACTGTTTCTGTACTTTGGATCAAATAAATGCAGGCTTGTTGAGCAGAAGAAAACAAAAAAAAACATTAAAAATCTTACTGTTCAAAAACT